TTTCTACCTGTCTTCACAAAACAGAGGGTTTTTTCCTCATGTGTATATACCAAATTGGACGAAGAGATTTTTTGTAATATTGAAAGGTTTGTTTTAATAATTTCAAGGACTGTGACATAAAACCTTCAAACTATAAATGTTAAATTTGAGACATTACATTCGTTAGACTATTTCAGAAGATTGTGTTTTGTTCAGTTAATGCAAAGCATATTTGTCTTAGGAGGCTGACTTCTCTCAACAATCTTGTGATAATCACTGACTATGATCTCACATCTGGAGTCATAAGTAATCAAACAATTGTAAATATTGAACATATTCTTATTAATAGGAGGATATTGAAAACATTCCTCTTTGCCAAAAATTATTTTTGCAAATAAAATATGTAAATGACTAACTGATTAGACTTCAAACACAATATAAAATCTCATTCTTTGACAGTACCATTTCTGGGAGCTGGGAAGATGTGAAATTGAAAAGCAGCAAATCTCCGACTCAATGAAAATTTCCTGACATTCCACCCATAAGGTTCCTCATCATCTCCCTGACCTTATATTGGGGTGTCCCAGGATCCAGTGTGAGGGTTCCTTTTCTTCCTACGTGCACTCTCTTGGAGATCCAATCTGGTCTCGGGTTTTAAATAACATCTATTACATGCAAATCTTTCCCCAGAACTTTTATTCTTCCTCTTCATGTCTCAATGTCAGCAAGTCCAAAACTGACACGAACCCTCCTGATCTTCATCCCAAACTTGCTCCTCTTAGATTTTCCCTTTGCAATGAATGGCAACCCCATCCATCCTTCTGAATTCTTGGTATAAAAACCCTGGAGTGATGCTCGATTCCTCTCTCTCTCTCTGTCTCTCTCTCTCTCCCTCCCCCCCCCTCCCCCCCCCCTCAAACCCCACACCCATATCCAAATCCTATTAAACCTAATTTCAAAGTATATCCAGAATCCAATCCCTCCCACCCCCTCCACTGCCATTACTCTGATCCAAGCGACCTCTCTCCTTACTGCCATTGCCTCCTAACTGCTTTTCTTCCTTTCCCGGTCCCCTTCCGTCCATTCTCAGCGCAGCAGACTGCATGCACCTTTAACATTTTCATAGCTTATCGGGCCTAACCGTGTCTGGCTCTCTTTAACTTCTCGGCCTCAGGGAGCCAGTTCTTGCCTGCTCTGCTGCAGCCAGTTGGTGCCCCTCCTGCCCTGGCCTTTGTACGGTTCCCTCTCTCGTAACACACGTTCTCCCTCGAGACACGCACAAGGCTGCCCACTGTCATCGCCTTCATGTCTATCTCAATGTCCCCTTCTCCATGAGGGCTTCCTGACCGCACGATCAAACGTAACGACCTCTCCCCGGCACGCCCGTCTCCCTAACCTACTTCATTCTTCTCCAATGCACCTATGACCATCTGCCACACTAAGATTTTGCACATTTATCTTGCTTACCCGTTTCTCTCAAACTCCCTAGGAAAATGTGCGTCCCACGCGGACCGGGAACGCTGCTTGCTTAGTGCTCTAGCAGCAGCCCCTAGAAATGCGTCTGCACACGGTGGGCCTTACTGCATTTGCTCCCACGAGCTTGCACCACGCTTCCGCTCCACACCGGGCATTAGCATGTTCCAGCCATGGAGACTCCGCACCACTAAAGGAACTGGAGAAGCTGTCGAGTCGGGCATGAGAATCCGAGGGGAAATGTGCGGGGGTGAGAGGCCAGGGCGCCCCTGAGCAGCACGCAGTCAGTCCCGGGACCTGGCCAGAACCTCGTGCCCCGGCCCCAACCACGCCAGCTCGGGCTGAGAGTAGCTCTCAGGGATTCACTGGGTCCTCCAAGGCCGGCTTTGGTGGACTCCTGCGTTGGCGGGAAAAGTTGACCTTCATTGCGCGCCAGGACGCAAGGCTTGCAGGGCATGCTGGGATACCACGGGGGATGCTGGGAGAGCGCAGGGCACGCCGGGAGGGCGCAGGGCGCGCCGGGAGAGCACGGGACACGCTGAGATTGGCTCCTGAGGGCCGCCAGGAGGGTGCGGGGGACGCTTTGAGGAAGGAAGGTGGGGCACGCTGGGCAAGCTCGAGCCAGGGGCGTTTCCTGAGGGCCGCGAGGAGGGAGTTGCTGCGCGCGGGTTCTCAGCCGATGCCCCGTGGAGGCCAGGAGCCTTGGCCTGGGGCAGCCGCTGCCTGAAGGAGGCAGAGTGGACGCGAGGGAGGCCGCTCGCGGCCCGCGCCCGCCCGCCCCCTCCTCCGCCTGAGGAGAGGCCTGTGGGCGTCGGAAGCGCCGCCTTTCCAGCCGTAAGGCGCGGTCCCGATTCCCTTCCACAGACTGGGGGAGGCGGCGTCCCAGCGCCTGTGCCCTGAGGGCGCTGCTCTGGATCCCGGGCATTTTATAGACTGGGCGTTCATCGAACGACCTTTTAAAACGGACTTAGCAGAACAGAGGCCTTCGATTCGTGTCCACCCGTGTCCGTGACTGTGGACACGGCCAGGCCGGGAGCGGGGTGGGCGCCTGCCCGGGGGCCGCCCTGAGCCCCGCGCCCAGGCCGATGCTCGGGAAGGGCCGGGTGGGCAGAGGCCGGTGCAGCTGCGGACGGGACCGCGGTCCCGAGGCTTCGCGCGAGCGGGGCGCTCCCGGGCTCGGTCCCCCGCGTTCCCCGAGCCCTCGCGGGCAGAGTGGGGTGGGTTCCGGCCGCGCTCCGAGCCCTCGCTCCCTTCGCTGCCGGGCCCTGGGAACCAGGGTGACGTCCTGGGACAGACACGCAGCGCGGCGGCCCCGTGGCAGGGTGTCCGCAGCGCGCCCCGGGATCCTGGTCAGGCCGGGCCGGGCTCTGGGCTTCACAGCAGATTCTTACCGCCTAGCCACGGAACACGACGCCCTTTCTGAGTCAGAAAACTTCGCTAACTAGGAACTCACAAAATTAAAAAAAGCAGTGATTCTGGTAAATACATTCTTATCCCTGACCGGATCACTCTTGTTTACATACGATGTTCCGATCCGTGAGTATTTGAAGATGGGCGAAGCGGGAGGTCTTGCACCCAGGAACTTTTCGGTGACCTGGAATTTACCTTTCTACTGTGATTTAAAAGAAAAATGAAATCGGCTGGGCGCAGCGGCTCGCGCCTGTAATCCCAGCGCTTTGGGAGGCAGATGGTGGCTGGATTGTTTGAGCCCAGGAGTTCAAACCAGCCTGACCAACACGGCAAAATCCCGTCTCTCCTAAAACACAAACATTAGCCGTGTGTGGTGGTACACACCTGTAATCCCAGCTGCTCTGGAGGCTGAGGCATGAGAACCTCTTGAACCCCGGAGGCGGGGGTTGCCATGAGCCGAGATAGCGCCACTGCACTCCAGCCAGGGCGACCGAGCAAAACTTGACCTCAAAAAGCAAAATAGAAAGAAAGTAATTTTAGTTGGAAATGTGTGTTGGACATGAAAGTGTAACAGCCCACAAACTTTCACCCACGTCTTTGTCCTGTTTTCTTTAAAATAAGTATTTGTCCTGAGCCAAGCCATAATCAGCCTTTTGTCAAATATTTTACCTTGATCATTATTGATGCTCTCTACTAAAAAACTTCAGGTGAAGAGAATTAAAAGTGTGAAGTCAGCAGCGTTTACCTTGGAAGTTTGTACTTTTTTTTAACTTTTCAAAACGTAGAATCAGAAAGGGAGTATTTTTATTTTTAATGAAACCAGGAATCATCTTAATTCATCAACATCTCGTGTGAATTTCTGTTAACCATTTTAAGAGTACTTCCATTTTTAAAAGAACCAGCTGGTTCTCTAATGATGAAAATTTCAAACGCTGTGATGCTAGAATGAGGAAGATATGTTGGAGCTAAGGGGCATTACCAGCATTCCTCAGATGACACCACAAACTCATTTCAGTGATTTAAAGGCTAGCCACACTGCACATTCCTGGGCCAGTATTTTATTCCTTCTTAAAAAGAAAAAACATATTGATATTGAAAAGTTGGAAGTAACTAGAGTCCAGCTTACTTTCCCCTCTAGCATGTGTTTGTGCATGCTAGAGTACTGAACGTTCACTAGGTTGCTTTGCTTTTATATTCCAGTTTTCATTTCTGTAGTAAAACGTAATGTAGACTTCAAAGGTACACCTTGTGAATTATCAACTGTACACTGTGCCTCCAATAGAATTTTAAAGCTGGGTGACTTAGTAGAAACAAAAACTACATAACAATTTAGAGACTTCAGTGAACACTTTCTTTTGTGTACAATGAAAAATGATATATTCCTCAACCTTGAAGTGCTTTACAGAAAAATCTGAAACAACAAAAGACTTTGCTATACACTTTGACTTTTAAAAAATGATAATAATGTTATTTCGATTTTCAAGATAGAGTTTTGCTCTTTTTGCCCAGGCTGAAGTGCGATGACGTGATCTCAGCTCACTGCAACCTCCGCCTCCTGGGTTCAAGTGATTCTCCTACCTCAGCCTCCTTAGTAGCTGGGATTACAGGCATGTGCCACCATGCCCAGCTAATTTTGTATTTTTAGTAGAGACAGGGTTTCTCCACGTTGGTCTGGCTGGTCTTGACCTCAGTTGATCTGCCCGCTTTCGCCTCCCAAAGTGCTGGGATTACAGACATAAGTCACTACACCCAGCCAAAAAATAATTATTGTTACAGAAAAGGGAGTGATGAAAATATTCTAAAATGTATTGCAGTGATGGTTGCACAACTCTGAATACAGTAACAAACAATGAATTGTACATATTAAATGGGTGAGTTTTATGTTATGTGAACTGTATCTTGGTAAAACTTGTACCAAAAATCCTAGAAAATCATTAGAAGATCTTAAAGGTAAATAGCAGTGATATATAACTGCTGAAGTTTGCAAACTAACTTGTTTCTATGATTCTATTCTAACACAGTATCAAATATTGTTTGCTCACTTGGTATTAGAATTCTATTGGTAAGATAATTTACTACCTTTCTTTTTTGCTGTTTAGTTTTAAAGGTCTGATTTCTGAGACAGTCAAGAGGAAAATATGAATAATCCTAGGCAGCAGTCTCTGTTCTTCATCACACTTCCAGATTTAAACAAACTCTGTGCCGTCAGAGTGTTACTGAGTAATAAGATGGCAGATACTGAGATTAGGACTATACAAATGAAGATGTGCAGGTAAAAAACATCTTATAACTAAGACTTTTAAACCTTAAGACCTATAAAGCTGTCTTAGGGGAATTTTCTACAAAGCAAAATACTCATTCACTCAATTTGTGTTTATAATTTTAAAATAAAGGCAGTCAGTTTTGTTTTAACCAGGTATATTGGATTACATTTAAGGAGGGACTTAAAATACTTGCAATAGAATATCTCCCTGTTGAGTTTTTATATTTGTAACCTCTTACATGCTTTTTAAAAGTTTAAAATCTCCACAGACATTCATGAATTAAATCAGGCTCCCAAAAACTTAGAGATCCTAGTTAATCCATATTTATGGAATACCTGCTGTTTATGGGGCACTTAGAGATACTATAAACATTTTAGATTAGTATAGTTCCTTAATTCTCAAGTCAGTATGAGACACTGAGGAGTATTTTTCTAGGATCTGTCCCAAAATATCTGATCCCTCATAGTCTTTGAAAAACAGCTTAGAGGGCTGGGCACAGTGGCTCATGCCTGTAATCCCAGCACTTTGGAAGGCCAAGACAGGCAGACCATGAGGTCAGGAGTTTGAGACCAGCCTGGCCAACATGATGAAACCCTGTCTACTAAAAATAAAAAAAATTAGCCAGGCATGGTGGCAGGTGCCTGTAATCCCAGTTAGTCGGGATTCTGAGGCAGGAGAATCGCTTGAACCTGGGAGTTGGAGGTTATAGTGAGCCGAGACCATGCCACTGTACTCCAGCCTGGGCAACAGAGCAAGATACCATCTCAAAAAAAAAAAAAATGAAAAAAATGAAAAAAGAAAAGAAAAACAGCTTAGAGAAGCCTAAAGTATAATTCCATGATTCTGTGATTACTGAGGACCCTCCCTTAAATGGTTTGAGGCACTCAAAGGAAGAGTCATAGAATACATGAGAAGGTTATATATTTAAATGGACACTTAGAGAAGAACAAACAACTAGAAGATGGCCAGGGGCAAGAAATAAGAAAGCCACTTTTGGGGTGTCCTTCATTTTCCTCTTATTTACAAAGTTTTTGTTTTCCCCATTGCATATCTTCCCACCCAAGGGCATCACCCTTCCTGCTAATGCAGAATTTGATACCTATTAAGGACTTAATCTGTGACTCCTTTTGGAAATATTAAAATAGGTGGAAAACCTAAAGTGAGGTTTTTCTTCTGTTTGCCCTCAAATTGAAGGTGGCCATGACCACAGAGTGGGGTTATCTTAACTCACCCTCCCAGTAATTGACATCGAGTCATGAATAGAGAGAGCAGAGACCTCTCTATTAGCATCTGGCTGTGTCAGATAACGGCAGGCCTTGCCAAAGCAAGTACCTGATCCACCTGGGTTCCAACAAATATGAAGCCACCAGAAACAGATTGGCCCATGTTGCTTTTTAAGGTAACCCCATACACATCCTAATGGTTATTTTGTTTCTTTGATGATTAGTACCGTTGAAGGTTTTCAGATTTCCAATTGCATTCTTTGTGTGTTTTTCCTATCTTTCCCTTGAACCTTGAAATTTAATTATTAATGGTAATTTGATTGTGATGATTGTTGTTCAATTGGCTGTTGAAACCACTACCCAGTTCTTTCTGGCTTGGGAAGAATTTCCTTTTTGAAGGAAAAGAATTTAGTCAGTGGTTCTATTTATTTAAGTGGTTGATAACTTCACTGACAGGTAAATCCTTAGACTTTTGCCTCTAGTTCCCCCTACCCACCACCTTTTTTTTTTTTAACAAGGAAAAATGGAAGAAATAGGAGTTAAAAGAGAGATTCTTTACCGTGTTTAGATTTCTTCAAGTATATAGGACAAAAATTGAATTCTAAAATATTAGATTAACAGATGAAAGAGGTTGGGAAATTCAGATGCAGGGACAAGTTCTCATATTAGTATTAGTATCTATAACTTCCTAATTCTTTTAATTCAAATATTGGCTGAGTACCTAAACCTACACTATTCAAGGTGCTATGCTAAGTGTGGGGAGAGAAAGTCTCTAACACAGTTGTTGCCTAGGAGAAACTTAACATTGTATCTAAGCAAATGTTTAAAATGTTCCAATAAAGTAAAAACAGACAGTGAGTATATTTGTCTGTTTTGACACTATAAAGAATTACCTGAGACTGGATAATTTATGAAGAAAAGAGGTTTAATAGACTCACAGTTCCATAAGCTTAACAGGAAGCATGGCTGGAGGCCTCAGGAAACTTACATTCATGGTGGAAGGCTGAAGGAGAAGCAAGCACTTTCTTCTAATGGCAGCAAGAGAGAGAGTTGAGGGTAGGAAGTGCTACACACTTTTAAACAAGATCTGATCAGAACTCACTCACTATCACAAGAATAGCAGGGGGTAAATCCACCCCCATGATCCAGTCACCTCCTGTCAGTTATCTCCTCCAACACGGGGGATTATAATTCAACATGAGATTTGGGTGGGAACATAGAACCAAACCATATCCGTGAGCAAGTCCACTTTGTAATATATTTCATCTCCACAGGCAGTTGCTGTTTTTGCATGAAGATATTCTTACATCACCTGTGTCTGGAATATTAAACCAAATTTGGGTGGTGATGTCGGTTAGTATTTTAACATTTTTTTTGAAATGTTATTACTAGTTGAGAACAATATCGACAACTAATAATTTAACTAAAGTTAAGATGTTTATGAGGATTAATTGATTAATCACAATGTGTTACAGGTTAACTGGATTATTAACTAACATTGATATGCCTGATGTTTAAAATCCATTTTTGTGGTTCTAATTTAACATTTATTTTTCTCATTATTAATGCTAAGATAAAGACTAGTGATTAATAAAACATGCTACAGTATGATTTTTAAAATAGCATGGGCTCGATAAATTTTATCATATTTTGTTTAGACTAAAAGGAAAAAGTTTGACATTTCAATACATTTCCTGTTTTTAAAGAACTTGAATCAACATTTCTAATAGAACATTTTACTTAAAAATATTTTTACACTTAAAATTTTTATATTAGTATTAGAAACATTTCCCAATTCTGTATGTAACTGGGAATATAATGAAGTGCCAAAAATCTTTTGAAAAAATTATATTATCCTGAGATTTTCATCAACAATTTTTCTGGAAACTCTGTTTCTCTGATATTTTAATTCCCCAGAATCCAGTGAAATCAACATTTATTAACAATGCTGACAAATAATCTAAAAGTTCTTTTATTTTTCTCCTGGGTCTAGGTTGTATGTCCATCTTGTCTTTTTTTTTTTTTCTTTTCTTTTCTCTTTTATTTTCTCCTCTCCTCTCCCTTCCTGTCTCCCTCTCCCTTTCTCTCTCCTTCTTTTCTTCTTTCGTTCCTTCCTCCCTCCCTCCCTTCCTCCATTCTTTCCTCTCTCCCTCCCTACCTCTATTTTATATATTGTTTTATTTTATTCTTTTAGATAGGGTCTGGCTGGAGTGCAGTGGCTCCGTCCTGACTTACTGCAACTTCCACCTCCCAGGCTGAAGCAATCCTCCTATATCAGCCTCTCAAGTAGCTGGGACTACAGGTGCACACCACCATGCCCAGTTAATTTTTTGTATTTTTTGTAGAGAGAAGGTTTCACTGTGTTTCCTGGGCTGGTCTTGAACTCCTGAGCTCAAGCAATCCTCCTTGGCCTCTCAAAGTGCTTGGATTATAGGCGTGAGCCACATGCACAGCCATATTTTCTTAATATAGTTTTTTTTAAAGACAAGCTTTTGGTGAACGAGGAAATTAGTATCTCTTATTTGCATCTTTTTCTACCTGAATATCTTTATGGGGCAAAGACATTATTTTAGAGTACTAGTAAATTCAAGTATGTGAATTTTAGCAATGGTGATAAGAGGAAAGTAGCTATCTATTTTTTAAAAATGTATTACTTTCTTACAAAGGTATTCTGTAAAAAAAAAAATGTTTAAGTAGAAAAGGGTATTATATACATATTATTTTGAAACTTGCCATTCATTTCCCCTTAAACAACCTTTCCTGGATATCTTTCCATGTCAGTATATGTATCTTCCTTATTTTTAAGGCTGTGAAGTATTTCATTGTATGGATATATAGTAATTTACTTAATACTTTCCAATGCACATCTGAGTTTGTGCTGTTAACAGTGTTTCAGAAAGCATCACTGAAATTGTATCACTTACTTGTCTGATAGTTTCTGTCTGTTACATTTTTAGAGGTAGATTGTAATACACTTTAAACTATAATATAGATACTGCTAAATAGCTGTCTGAAAAGCTTTTTGCTGGATTGCATGTTACCAAATGGTCTGGGAGAAAACCTATTTTCCCATACCCTCATGAACACTGTAGATATTCACGACTTTAAATAATTGTCAGTCTGTTAGGTTACAAATAATAATTTCCTTTAATTTTTATTTCTTTTATTAATGAGTTGGAGGACTTAGGCCTTTTGAACATGGTCTTCCATTTATGTCCATTTTCCTTATGTATGCCTAGGAATTCTATATTAAGAAAGGTGTTAAATATTTATTTACAAAATTTATTGACCTTTTCCTTTATATGAATAATGGGGTCATACCACTCCCAGAAAGGCTTTCCTCACTTTGAAAATGTGCCCACAGATTCCAGTTCAGGGAGAGAATGATCATCACTTCTTCTGCAAGGCACAGAGGCTAATTGGATGATGGCCTGATTCTTCGCCCTCTGCAGAATAATGCCTAAAATCTTTCCTTATTGCATTATTTAATTACATACTTATGTTAAGTCCTTTTTATAAATGTGGATTTTTGTTACAGATACCATTTTATAAAGCAAGAAAACTTAATGCCTATGTTGAAAAATATGGAGCTAAGGTAAGTGTTAAAAATGATGCTAATAGCATATGTTGTTAATATTGATAATGTATTTAACTCCTTTTGTGAAGAAACAAAAACTGGAGAATCTTTCTCATAAATATTGTTATGTATATGAAAGAACCCAACAAATTTTTTCCAATAATTATTATGTGCACATTTAATATAGAAAGAGAAGAGGCTTTTTTGTTGGATGCTTTATTTCAGGTATTTTATGTGGCATAATTTTATTTGCCATATACATCTTCAAATAAGTGAATGTCCTCATTTTCAAAGGTAAACTCAGAGAGATGAGATTGCTCACATTATATAGCTAACGTATAGAGGAATAAAACATTATAGATTGTATTCTACATGGTGATGAACTTCTGGATCTTCACAAAGAGAAAGATGAATGCAGTGGTTTGTATTCATTTACTGAGACCTCTCTGTGTCTCAGCAAATCGAGTCATGGAGCCTTGACTAGAGCTCCTTTCATACCTCTGCATGCAACTCTGAGATTACTGTGTCATTGGTTATCCCAGAAGCCTGTCCAGCCGTTACTGCTGGCCTCTGTTCCTAAATCTAATAGAGTTTGGGATAATGAGGTTTCTAGTCATCTTTAAAATTAGATGCTGCCTTTAGGTCCTAGGCAAGTAAGATTTCAGTAATACCTTGTTGTACTTTCCAGTTCCTGTGAGAAATTGTTGAATGACCTGAAAGCTGGTCATCAGTTACAGTCTGTGGGAAAACAGTATTATTTAGGAGCAATGAGGAAAGAATATGTTTAAATCTTTTTCCTAAGACAAGTCTTTGATTATCTAGGGATTCTGGTTCTCTTGAAAGGCCATTTATGAGCTAGCCTGAGAACTAGATTTACAGTATGTCATTCACCTAGACATAGGACTTGGGTCTTGAAGCAATCTACCAAATTACATTATTTACTAAGGCCTAAGAATAGGTAACATTTTAGTATAGCAGATTCTTGAATAAAATCATTTCATTTGATATTATTTCAATATAGCATTAATGAAAAAGGAAAAAAATTCAGTTCCCAGCCAAGGCTTCTGTCTGTGTGGTTTACAGCTTCCCCCCTTGTCTGCGCAGGTTTTCTTTTGATACTCCAGGTTCCTCCCACATCCCAGAGATGCACACATTAAGTGAGCTGGCATGTATTAAGTGTCCCAGGCTGAGTAAGAGTGAGTGAGTGTGTGTGTGTGTGCCCTGCAATGGAATGGAGTCCTGTCCAGCGCTGGTGCCCACCTTGCACCTTGAGCTTCCAGGATAGGCTCTGGCTACCCACCACTCTGAACTAGAATAAGCTAGTTGGAAAATGAATGAATGAATTGATGCACAAATACAAATTATTGTAAAATAAATGTTCATAACGTATAGTAATCATACAGATGCACTACAGTAAGTGATGCAGTACAAAAGCACTCTGGGAGCCTGCCTTATTTGTGATTGTTTCAAACTGTGGTAGTAGGAGGTGCTCCTTAAGACTTTTGCTTTGCAAACATTTATTCCTTGATTTTACCCACAACCACTACTACCACTGTCATTCAATGATTCAGCAAAAATTGGGTAAATAATTCTTACTTGTTTTTATTAATCTTTCTTAAATGTATGTATAGCTTACATTTATTTCAGTGTTAATATTAGAAGTGTTTTTGGTCTTTATTTTAAAAGCTTGATGATTTTTTGTGACGAGAACTACGCCATAGGAACATTTATTTATATCAGTTAGCCTATGATTTTGGCAGTAGCCAAAACTAGTATAACAAAATTGGTTTTGTTATATGTCATTTTGCTTAAGGTTATGGTATGTAAGAACTTATCAATGACATTAAATGAGGGCATACTGTACTGATTTAATAAAGCAACATTTATACTAAGCATCACATTTTTATGTGTACTTTATAAGAAAAAATGAAAAATTAAGACTATCACCCATAGTCCTCAGACAACAATAAAAATGCTTTGTACTATATTTTTCTTTTGCCTTATTAATTAACACCTGTGATTTCATCAATGCAAGGTATCACATCTCCAAAATGTTTAAGATTTTTCTGTTTATGTTCTTATTCTTTTTCCATTTATCTCAGTTTCATTCCTATAAACTAAACTTTTGTTCCCTTCACTAGACTTTCCAATCCTGAATTCTTTATTATTCATGAGCATTCTTCCAATATCACTTTCTTTTCTGCCTTCACTGAGCCTTTATGGTTATGCTCAGTTTTTCTTTATGTGAATACTTTTCACATAAGCATAATCAGCAGACATTTATTCAACACCTGTAATATGTCAAGCACCCTACTTGATTCTGGGGATCAAGCTGTGAACCAGATAAAGTCTTTGTCCTTGGTAATCTAATAGCAGGAAAAAATTTCTATCTTTTCAAGTTTTTGGAAGAATTTATGTAGAATTTTTATTATTTCTTTAGTAAATGTTTGGTAAAATTCACCAATAGAGTAATCTGGGCCTTAGCTTGTGCAAGGGGTGTTAGCTGCAATTTCAACTTATTTAATAGATAATAGAGCTATTCAAGTTATCTATTTTAAGGAATATGTCCATTTCATCTAAGTTGTCAGATTTATTGACAGAAGATTGCTTATAATACTCCTTTATTTTCCTTTGCTGTCAAATCTATAGTGATGTCACTTCTCTGATTTCTGATATTGGTAATGTGTATGTTTTATTTTTCCTTTCCCTAATCAGTCTGGTTAGAGGGTTGGAATCTTAGTTAACTTCTCAAAGAACAAGTTTTTGGTTTCACTGATTTTTCTCTCATTTTTTACTGCTTTGTATTTTGTCGATTTTCTTTCTGGTCTATTACTTCCTTCTCACTTTGGGCTTAGTTTGGTTTTATTTTTCTAGCTTCTTAATGTGGAAGCTGAGGTCATTGATTTGAGAATTTCTTTGTTTTGTAATATAGAGACATTTCATACTATACGTTTCTTCCTAAACATGTTTTTGTTTTGATTTTCTTTAGTTAAAAAATACGTTCTAATTCCTGTTTGATTTTTTTTATCCATGGGTTATTTTGAAGTGTGTTATATAGTTTCCAAATATTTTACGATCTTCTAGAGATCATTTTGCTGTTGATTTCCAATTTAGTTGTTGCTAGAGAATACGTTCTTTATAACTGGAATCTTTTAAAATTAATTGAGATCATTTTTTGGCCCAGAATATAGTATATCTTAGTAAATGTTTCTTGTCCATTTGAGAAAAATGAGCATTCTATAAATGTGTCATCAAGTAATCTGTAAATGTTTATTAGGTCACATTGGTTGATAGTGTTTTTAAGCCTGCTGTAGTCTCACTTATATTCTGTTCACTTGTATCAGTTATTAAGAGAGCAGTATTGAAGTCTTTACCTATAATTAGGAATTTGTTTGTTTCTTCTTGAAGTTCTGTTAGTAGCCCTTAGACAACTGCTGCAGTCTCTCCAAAATGAGGCTGTCCTTGGTGATTTTGGAAGAGCTTCTTAGAGAAGTAAAAATCCATTGTTCATGGATATCCTGTGAACAGCTTTCCCGACAAAGGGAGTCACCCACATAGAAAAGGTGGTAGAGAATTTGTCCCTGACTTTAGCTGAAGTGATAAATCACACCATCTTTGCACTGGAAGACATTCAGGTCACCAGCCAGGATGGCTATGAATGACAGAATTGCCCCATTCTTCTTCCTTGCACCCCAAGGCTGAGTCTGTGCTGATATATTTTGCTGTATCTGGATTAATTTCTTGCACCATAGAGAAAGTCAATAAGGAAATTAAGAGAGAAATCCACCTACATCTCTAAGGAAGACCCTGGTGGCTTATGGGATTTGTTCAGCTGTTTGGGTCTGGGCCCCTGGGGCCGTGTTTGAGGTCAGCATTATAGAGTCCTATTGCTAGTAGCCTTAATCAAATTCTGTGTGAGACAAATTGAACAAATTTTGTTCCATCCTTTGCCAATAGATTATCAGTTATGTCCTGGAAACATTCACCATAAGTCAAAATGGCACAAAAATTAGAGGTGGATAATATTGGGAGACAATTTTCCTTGGCTCTCTCATGCATTTGCATGTTCTTTTCACAAAGGCAAAGCCAGCAATTTTTTCTGGACTGTATTTTCAAGGATTTTTATGTATCAAACAGCCTTGGCTCTTTCTCCAGCCTTGGGTAGTTTCCTCACATGTCTGTGTTAATCCATACTCGGCCAATTACTCAAGAAAGACTCTCTGCTGATCTCCAGAGTTTGCTTTCTGTGCAACCCTTTCCTCTCCTGTACTTCACACTGAAAACTCTAGCTTCCTAGACTCTCAGCTCTATCTCCTCAATTCATGAAGACTTCTGGCCTCTTCCTAGGTGCCACTTCTCTGTACTGCAGCTTGAGAACCATCTATGAAGAAGCCACGGCTTAATCTTGTTGTTTTTCCATCTTTTGGGAATCACTTTTCTTTGTTGCCTGATGTCCAATATCTTGTGAACTGTTATTTCATATAACTCGCCTTGTGATTTAGGCATTTCAAGGAGGAGGATAAATCTGCTTCCTATTACTTATTGGTCTTAATTATAAGTAAAAATCTTAATTTTTAAAAGTAATTTGGTATTATACAAATACAGATATTTTCTTGGTTTCATGTGTGCCCATATAAGTATGTATTTTCTAGAGTTGCGGCAGACCAGGTCTCACTAACCCAGGCCTCCATTACAACTGTCCCAGCACTGACTGAGTAGCAAGGTTAAACATTAAAAGCTAGTTGAGCCTGTGCCCTTTTACAAAGGCTGGAATGTAACAAAGACCCCACCAAGAGTTTTGCCTAGGTTTTTCCTGGGCCTTGAAGCATGACAAGATAACGAAGGAATTCTTAACAGGACTCTTTTAGGATTAAAGAAGTTTTATTGGGAGTCTGAAGAAACTCCCCAGGCCTCCACAAACAAGTTTATTGGGGTCCAAAGGAACTCCCCAAACCTTCATGATTTAGCAGGAGACAAGATAAAGGTAATCACCTCAGCACCTAGACTCATTTAAATTAAGTAAACTTACTGAAGCTCCAAAAGACGGTCTTCATGACTCAGATCTTTGTTATAGATTAAAAGAAGTTAACTACTTATGTCTTTAGATGAATGCAGACTTACACGTAGACATATAGATTAGAAGGTATATAACCTCTGGAAAACTTTGTAATTTTGAGTTGGTCTGATAATAACTTCCAGGCCTTCTCCCTGCAACCAGTTGCAGAAAATAAAAACTCTCTTTCTTTTCAGTTCATCCGCATCTTGTTATTGGGTCACAAGAAACAGCATCCTGACCTTCAGTTTGGTCTGGGAACAGAGTGAACAATAATGACTATTGCAAGTTTGTTCTCCTTTGGATTTGTCTGTGTAGAGCAGAATATGAAGTAATGATCAAGGGTTTTAGCACAGAACTCCCAAGATTTAGATTTATTGGCCAAGGTAAGCAGGTAGTATTTGGCCATGAAAGCATGACAATAGTAGTGATTTTGAAGTGAATATATTTTAACACTTCTTTAACTTTAGAACCAGATATTATTAGCTCTAGCAATGATTACATTTTTATGTAGAATAGCCCAATTTGTTGGGTGGTGATCTAAATGAGCAGTCATTTCCTATTAATGTATACGCACACAGCAGTTGCTCTAAATTTCCCCATATTTTGCCATTTAATATTTTTAGATGGAGATCCCACAAAGAGTAATTCCTGTAATTCTTCAGAACTGCCTTTCATATTCATTCACAACTAGACTTGCTCCAGCCTGGAATAGAAGTGGCCATCTATTGATACAAGGTAACTTTATCATTTTAGTCATTGGGGATTTCTGAACTAGATTACTTCTGTTATGTGTGTATTAGTCTGTTTTCATGCTAATAAAGACATACTGGAGACTGGGTAATTTATAAAGGAAAGAGGCTTAATGGATTCACAGTTCCACATAGCTAGGGAGGCCTCACAACCATGCCAGAAGATGAAGGAAGAGCAAAGGGACATCTTACATGGCAGCAGGCAAAAGAGCATGTTCATGAGAACTCCCCTTTATAAAATCAGCAGATCAGGGCCGGGCGCGGTGGCTCACGCCTGTAATCCCAGCACATTGGGAGGCCGAGGAGGGTGAATCACGAGGTCAAAAGATCGAGACCATCCTGGTCAACATGGTGAAACCCCGTTTCTGCTAAAAATACAAAAAAAAAAAAAAAAAAAAAAATCAGCTGGGCATGGTGGTGCGTGCCTGTAATCACAACTACTGAGGAGGCTGAGGCAGGAGAATTGCCTGAACCCAGGAGGCGGAGATTGCGGTGAACCAAGATCGTCCCATTGCACTCCAGCCTGAGTAACAAGAGGGAAACTCCATCTCAAAAAAAAAAAAAAAAAAAAATCAGCAGATCTCATGAGGCTTATTCACTATCACATAAACAGCACAGGAAAGCCACAACCCCATGATTCAGTTACCTCCTACTGGGCCCCTCTCACAACATGTGGGAATTATGGCAGCTACAATTTGAGATTCAGGTGGGGACACAGCCAAACCATATCAAGTGCATCTGTCCTTAATTTAAAGATATATAACTTTTAAAGAATAATTCTTGAAACAGACCCACCTAAGCAATCTCAAGCAAGCCCACAACAACATAAACGTCATTTCTTTACTTTGGGATTATATACAGAGGCCTGCTGATGTTTCTTTAAAAAATTATTATATAATACTTGATACTTAGGAATAAATATAAATTATGAAGCAGTATGATAAAATGAACACAATACTGTTAAAACTGAGAAGCTATCCTGAATTTTTGTTGAAGTGTGATTGTTTTCTAAATATTTTATAGCAGGAAATAGATATTTAGGGGAAGAATTGGGTATTTCCATCCTTTTGATTAAAGAGATACTTTTTGAATGATTATATTTTTTCTCTGAGCTGTCATCAGATGTTCCTTTATATAACAACTGCGTTTTAAAGTATTTTCTTTAGCTTTGATAATTTCACATCAAGCATAGTTATTAATATCAAGCATGATTATGAGTTGTAGTAATATGGCATATTCTATGAATTTTTTTTAAGGAAGAGATTTTCTTTCTCAGATGGGAAAACAAAGTGCTGTTGGTAAGTAAAAATGCATAAGTCAATGGATAACATAATTCATAGTTTTTAAAGAAAAAAGTATCATGTGCTGGGCATAGTGGTGCATGCCTGTAATCCCAACACTTTGGGAGACTGAGGTAGGTAGATTCTTTGAGCCCACAAGTTCAAGACCAGCCTGGGCAACATGATGAGACTCCATCTCTACAAAAAAATTTTTTAAGTTAGCCAGGTATGGTGGCACATGCCTGTAGCCCCGGGACACTAAGGTGGAGGGCCACTTGAGCATAGGATGTTGAGGCTGCATGCAGTAAGCCATGATTGCGCCACTGCACTACTCCAGCCTGGATGACAGAGCAAGACCCTATTTCAAAATAAAAATAAAAATAAAGATAACTAGATCATTAGGTTCTTAGAATTATTGATTAATTAGGAAATAGTTTGTATAAGACCTTAATCAGATACTATTGTAATCAGAATTTCACCTGGGAAATCACTTCTTCAAAATGTACATTCTAGACTATATGAGAAAAAATCATCTTAATTGGAAAAAGCCATATTTTTATTTTCTCTACTTCAAGAAAATCATGACCGTGAAGGAGTTTAATTCTGCAGGCAGTTACATGTATAGTTTACAGAATCATATATCATCAAAAATTCTTTAGTACTGATGTAAGTCAAAGCTTTATTTCTTATAAAAATAGGATTCTTTTTCTCCTTAAAAAATTGTAAAAAGAGACACAGATGATCTAAAGTATACAGTTTAGTATATGGCTTAATCTAATTCTTTCATTGATTTGCATGGTTGTATTTCAGATAGACACTTCCCTAAACAGTAGTCCAGAGATAGCAGATAGATGAGAATCCTGAGTCACCACCACGACATTAATAATGTAGACATTATTAATCAATCATGATAGCATTTCATATCATTTGGGCATAGCCTTAAAATCCTGACCTGTAATCTAAAACTATTAGATCTGATTTGACTTTCTAGCTGAAGCCTGTTTGCTCTCCTTGCACTAGTTTTATGTTTAAGTTGTGCAGTATCAGTCAGTATGCCCTAGCTCTGGGTGAATGGGTTCATTACCTACATCTAGTTTCATCTTCAAACACTGTCATGAGACTATAGCTGTAGGGATTAAAAATAACAGTTTAGAAGAGGAAAATTCCTCACTCCTGTGTTAGGATTTTTTTTTAACTTTTATTGAAATTAATACATTATGACAAATTTTAAGTGTATAGCTCATTTAATTTTAACAAACTAAACATATTCTTGTAACCATTCTCAGATTGAGAAACAACATTAAGAGTACCCCAGAACCCACCTCATGCTTTTTTCATGTACTAACCCTTCCCAAAGTCAACACCATCCTGACATTCCAGAATTAGTTTTCTTTATGAAAAAGAAAGGCAAAGACTTCAAGGCTCTAGGAATTCTGGAATATATCTGCCAGTATATTTGAAGATACTTGTTAGTAAAAGACTACTCAAATCAGAAATGTGGTGTGATACCTCTTTAGATTACAGAAGAGGATAATCTCCTTATTTTTATATATAGGTCAGATTTATATAAGGTATTTGTTTGATTTTCCTCTTAACTATGGGGTGTCTCATTTTTCTTGTTGTGACCTTGACTGTGACCTGCACCCCACACACATACTCATGCTGTTTCATACTTTTGTCCTCTTTTAGATGTCTCGTATCTAAACTGCCAAATATTAAGTGGTTATTATTTGAATTTTACCATGTATGGAAAAAAATCTGTTCTTGTGTTTGACTTGAATAAGTTTCCTTTGCTACTAAAATACTTAATTTAGTAGTATGGAGTAATAGTTCCAATTAGTTCACAGTTCAATGTTTTATTTTCAGTATTAAACATCAATGTAACAGAAACTCAAGTTTGTCTAAGTATAGAAGCTTGCACAATCAGACTGCCACCACCTGAGGTACCACGTATTGTGATTTATATACTTTACTGTATTTGCTATATACTTTTTATGTTTATTATTGTTACTAACGTGGATTAGGTTTTAATTTTTAACATGAAGGGTGGTAGGGAGGTTTTTATTATCAAAATCTATATTATTAAATGCTTGACATTTTTATTGTTCTAAATCTGCTTCTCCAAAGAAAATATTTTTCTGTCCATTTAACACAGGTCTTCACATTATTCCTTTGTTCAAAACTTTTTTAAGGTGCTGAGACTCTCCACAACCTATTCTGTCTTAACACCCACTTTTTGCCTCTTCTTTCACCTCCAAATGTGAAAAGAATGATTTCAGCTCATTAATTTAATATTAATTCCCCTGCCTTTGACATTCTGGTAGCATTTTTTTTGGCATGTTTTTTACTCATAGCTTTCTGTCTCCTTAGTAGAAGGATATGTCTTTTATTTTGTGAATTCCCATAGCACCTAGCATAGAACCTTACGTGCTAGTGTCATTCAATGTTATTTTCTTTCCTCTAGGCCAGTAGTTCTCAATGGAAGCAGTTGAGGGCAGGGAAATGAATGATTGACTCCTTTTGAGAAATAGTTATGTCTAGAGATAATTTTGGCTGTCACAATGGGAGAAGGATGGTGTTGCTACTGGCATCTAGTGGGTAGAGGCCAGAGAAGGGATGCTACTGCATGTCCTTCCCTGCACAGGACAGTAATCTTATCCCCACCCACAGAATTATTCATCAATAGTGGTGAGGTCGAGAAACCCCAGGCATAGGACAAATGACTCTTTCTTTGCTTAGAATGCCCCTCTGATTGGCTGCATACATTCTGCCCATCTTTTAAGGCCCACTCAAATGCTACTCCTCCATTCATTTATTTCCATTTAATTTTTTGATTACGTCTTATGTGGATAAGTAACAAAGGACAATTGATAAGTCAGAGATGAATAGGATCTACTTTTCTGCCCTGGAGAATGATATAAGCCAGTAGGGAAGTTGACCTGCATATAAATAACTGGAATGAGTAACATGACATGTATATCTTGGACTGATGAGGAGCCTTCCCAAGGTTACAAATCCTATGTGATTGCCCACCCTCATTTAAACCCTCATACTCTCCTGTACCATACTATCTTTGGTTTCTGTCACTTAGAATATCTGAAATTGGGTAATTTGTAAAGAAAATGAATTTATTTATTACACTTATAGAGGCTAAAATGTCCAAGGTAAAGGGGACTTATCTGGTGAAGACCTTCTTGCTGTTGAGGACTCTGAGTCCTGAGGTGGCACACAGCATCATATAGTGAGAAGGCTGGGTGTGGAGGCTGAGGTTTCTCTTCCTCTTATAAAGCCACCAGTCCTACTCCCATGACAAACAATTAATTCATTAACCTTCTAATCCACTAATCCATGAATGGATTAATCCATTCATGAGGGCAAATCCCTCATGACCCAATCACCTGTTAAATGCTCCACATGGCCGGATGCTGTGGCTGTAATCCCAGCACTTTGGAAGGCCAAGGCAGGTGGATCACGAGATCAGGAGTTCAAGACCAACCTGGCCAACATGGTGAACCCCATCTCTAATAAAAAAATTAGCTGGGTATGGTGGCACATTCCTGTAATCCCAGCCATTCTGGAGGCTAAGGCAGGAGAATTGCTTGAACCAGGACCTGGAAGGTGGAGGTTGCAGTGAGCTGAGATTGTACCTCTGCACTCCAGCATGGGCTACAGAGTAAGACTCCATCTCAAAAAAAAAAAAAAAAAAAAAAAAAAAAAAAAAAAAAAAAAAAAAAAAAAAAGGCCCCATGTCTTAATACTGCCACATTGTGGATTAAATTTCAAAATTAGTTTTGGAGAGGACACATAGTCAAATCATAGTTTATACTCACATACTTATTTCTATTTTTATAATTATACTAAATTTATACCTCTGATTTCCTTTGAAGAGGCATCATGAAGACTAATATTGTGACTTACTCACCTTTGAATTTTCTAGAGATGACACTTCTGTATTCTACACCTGAGTTTGAACCAAATTAGAGATTGACAGAGAAGTAAGACATAAATAGAGATCAGAATGTCAGCTTTATTACTAGAGTGAGATTATAATTTATCCTCAAAACAGGATGCTTCTGAGAGTGAAAGGGACACTAGCCTGATGGGATGCTGGCCCCACATGCACAAACTGGAATATATAGTCATGCTGTTCATTACTGGAAAGGAAAAACAGCTCTTGGAAGACATGGTTTATCTGAACCTTAGAGTGATGCAGACTTAGCCACCCTCTTATTGCAGTAGTGGAAAAACCACAGACCTCGCTTGTGAGACCAGGCACTCATTCTGATATGTCAAAGAGAGTACCTAACACGACTCTCTGCCATCAGGCCAGCTCCCAAGAGGAAGGGGAGGAGGTGAGCCAGCATGCCTGGTTATTCGTCCCAATTTTACCTTCTGTATTAGTCCATTCTCATGCTGCTATGAAGAAATACCCCAAACTGGGTAATTTATAAAGGAAAGAGGTTTAGTTGACTCACAGCTCCTCATGGCTGGGAAGGCCTGCGGAAATTTACAGTCATGGTGGGAGAAAAGTGCCCAGCAAAGGTGAAAAAGTGCTTTATAAAACCGTCAGATCTTGCAAGAACTCACTATCACAAGAACAGCATGAGGGTAACTGCCCCCATGAATAAATTAACTTCCACTGGGTCCCTCCTACAACATGGGGGGGATTATGGAAACTACAGTTCAAGATGAGATTTGGGTGGCAATGCAGCCAAACCATGTCACCATCCATCTGCTCTAGGTAGGAATGAATAATGGAGCAGAGTGATTCCAGGAATATGTCTTAGTAGAGCTTTCTGGGCATGGAAGGAAACACCAAAAATGGGGCAGACACAGTCCTCTTCTCTATTCAACATTATGCACGCAACATATACTTGTTAAATTAAATCAATTCTCTAAATTATGATTGTTCATCAGCTTCTCTGAGTCTCACTTTTGCTTATGTTTTTTATATGGCATCTTACATATTCTGACTGCTATAAAAATTAGTTTTATATATACCTATGTTCCCGCTAAACTGTAATCTTTTTGAGATTCTAGGTCCTGTCTTATTCATGTTTATTCCCCATGGCACCTAAAAGATAATTGCATTTAATTTTCCTTTTATTAAAATCTGGCATTGGTTAACATAACCAAAAAGTTATGCTAGATTTAAATAAAAGTCATTTAAAATGACTCAGGTTTATTTTGCCAACTTTGATGACATGCCCAGGGAAAAGAAACACAAGTTACAATAGGATCTGTGCCCTGTGCTTTCTCGAAAGAGGGTTTTGAGGACTTCAGTATTTAAATGGGAAAGAAAAAGCAGAAGGGAAAAGAGGAAGGGGAAAAAGGAGGAGGGTAGACAATGAGCCAAGTAAGTGAATCTACATTATAAACATGAAAAGAGGGGTAGAGGAAAAGTCAGTTATGCATTTCTGTCACCCAGTAAATGTACATTTACAGTAATAATCTGAACTAAGCTATCTGGGAACAAAAGGAAGGCAGGGTTTTTTTGTTTGTTTTTTGTTTTCGTGTGAGTCACTTTCCAAGCTTAATGTTTCCTTTGGCGTGGCGAGTTTGGGGTTCTGAGATTCTGGTTATTCTCTTTCATAGTTATTAGGTCAGGTTGGCGGAGGGGATTGAGGGTGAAGAGGTGAAAAGGAGGATGTTTCTGGTTTCTCTTTCCTCCAGTTTATTTTGTTTGTTTTCATTCCTTTTTTCAAAAATTTGCCATGGCCTCCATTGACTATAAGATGCAATCTCAGCTGTTTACCATGACATACAAGGTTTTCAGCAAATGGATTCAAACCTACCTTACTTATAGCGTCACCTCCCATTACTGCTCTCCAAGTAGCCAAACTGAATTGTTTCTCAAAGATGGTTTGGTCTTTCATCCTTCCACGTCGTTGTTCGCACTGTTGTCTAGGCCTATAATTCCCTTTCTCCTGCTCATCTTTCAAGGCTTATCTCAGACATTACCCCTCTGAAGAATTCTCCAGCTTCCAAGTCTCATCTCTCTTGGTGCTCCCCTGCCATGTTTATCACATGCTATCTATGCAAACATCTCATTAAACTGAGAAGTCCTAGAGGGAAGGGTCTATGTCTTATTAATCTTTCTATCATAGGAGCCTACCTTAGTGCCTGCCACATACTTTTGTACACATTTATGGAATGAATGGAGCATTGACTGGAGTGAAAGACTAATTTATTGTTTGAACCAGGTGACTTTTGTTTCTAAATTCTTTTTTAATTCCTTTGGGCTAGAGATTGGAGTACTTTTTAAAATCCTGATTTTTGACCCTATTTAGACAAATTTTAAAGCAGATTTCAGCCTTATCTTTACAATTTAAATATAGATCAAAAAATTTAAGAGGAATTGAAACAATAATTTACTCATTTCTCAAATTTTAGGCTGTGTTAAACTTAAAATAATACTTTCCTGAAAGTAATTAAATATTTCGAAGGGAATTTATATGCGCAAATTGCCATTTTACTGTTTGCTGCATTGAGATTATAACTGAATCCACAGTTACATAAGGGATATATTTCAGAAAAGCATTATATAATCTTAAACTATTTGTCTTGAAATATAATTATATGGAAAATTTGGGAGATGAGTGCCTTGAAACAAATTTCTATTTATTTCATAGAGAGATATTTATTGGGTACTATTATGTATATGTACCAAGTGCTGATAAAAAACATTTTTCTCTCAATATTTTTTGTCTAGGTCAGAAGAAAGAAGAGCATGCACATATAAAATTTACCAGAAGGGAACATTTGCTGAGGACTAGTTAATATTCACATACCCAGAAAATTCAGTGTAGGCTTAGAATCACATTAAAACTCTCAGATCTGCACTAATTAACGGTGCTTCTTTGGCATGTTACTTACTCTTGCAGAATCTCCATTTTTCTTATAAATTGGAAATAATGTGTATCTACGTTCTAGGGTTATAAGGAGGGTAATGGGGTAAAGTACATTAAGGGCTTAGCATAGTACTGACACCTAATAGAGGTTCAAAAATAATAGCTATTGTCATTATTTTATAAGTAAGTAAATTAAGGCACAATGCAGTTAAATAAGTTGCTCTGGGTCATAAAGGTAGTTAAAGTAAGAGATTCAGGATTTGAGTTTGTCCTTCAACTCTGTTCTTTCTACTATACCATGCTTCCTTCACCTATCCTTAGGTTTTTTGCTTCAAATTTGCTTGTCCCATAGAGCTTTACAGAAATAGATACCTAATATATGTTGAATAAAAATACAATTAAAAATGTTTGGTAATGGAGTATCAAAATTAGTGTTATAGGAACTATGTTACTTTAGGAATTAAGAGAAAAAGAAAATGTCTAAGGGAATCATATGTGAAATCTTTGGAATATTTATGTTATTTTTCACCCTTTTCTTCTTGAAATAATTTTCTTTCTTGATTTCTCTGAAACTGATTTTTCTAGAATCTCCTGGAATTCATTTGTGGTTCTTCATTCATTTATCATTTTAAATGTTGCTATTTCGTAGGGTTCCATTTTTGGCCCTCTTTTCCTTAGCAAGCTCACCCATTTCAGTGGCTTCAGCCTATACAGCAGTACCTCCCAAATATTCTTGTATAGTTGTAACATTTCTGCCCTCTCTTGGATACTTTCAAATGAATGTACTAATGGCAGTCAGACTCAATTATGTCGAACACTAAATATATTTATTGTCACCTTCCACAGCCCCATATCTGTTCCTCCTGTGTAATTATTTTCATTAGTGGCATCAACAGCCAATCATTTACCTACCTAAAGACTTCAGAGTCAGCCTTGGCTTTTCCTCTTTCTCGTTTTCTCTTTCCAGTTAGTCTTTAATAGACAACTCTTGTCTCTTAAATAGACTCCTTTCTGTCTCCATTTCTGTTGCTCTAATTCAGACTCCCTTTTTTTACTTGAACTATTAAACCAGTCTCCATATGGGCCTTGTTTCTGTTTTCTCTCCTTTAAGTTTTTTATTTTTTATTTTTATTTTTTCTTAAAGCCCTGGGAGGAACCTGGAGCTACAAGTGCATTCAAAGTGTTAATGATCGATGTGTCCTGCAATTCACATTAATTCTCGTAGCTAGCTGCATTCTTCATCAATGCATGAGCCGAGTGATCCACTGCAAAGAGTTGTATCTTTCAAGTTTATCTCATTTTTCCTTACAGTATCAAGAGAGTTCACTTTCTAAAACAAAGGTCCCAGCCCAAATGTCTTTAGTATTTCAGCATTGCCTAGAAAAAATTAAGTCCAAATTATTTAGACTGGCATTTTAAGAAGGAAGTAATATTTATTGAATACCTGCTTTTCAGTATGGTTTTGGTCAGAGAAGCGCACTTTATAAATATTTGCTAAATAAATAAATACAAAGGGTGAGCATTCGCAGTCTCTTGGAGTATATGGTGAACAGTTGGGTGGTTTGCCAGTCTTTAATCTGTGTTGAGAAAGACCAGTGTAAACATTAAGTACTGGTACTATTGAGGTCCCTGCAGCATTTGACCTGAGTCTCTGAATACTGTAGAAAGTACCCAGAAGGATATATACTCAAGCTATATAAGTAAGTGTATGTGAGAACCCATAAACTTTAAACATTCGAACCTGATACCTACCTTCTATGAATTCCATTTTAAGTTCTGTTTTCTCTCAGTTTATTCATCCCTCTGCAACCAGTCTTATTCATAACCATGCCTGCTCTAACCATGTTTTTATCACACAGTTCAGACAACTGATCTCTTAAGCGTAGTACATCACAGTGCAAGATTTATCTCTTGTGCACAGGAAAATATGTGTCCTTATTCATTCTGCATGTCCTTGCTCTTTTACCTCACAACATAATTAGCTTATCTTATCTTCCTCTTCCTGCATTCATGTTTTCTTGCTCTTCTCTGCTTCTCTATTTCTGCTAGTCTTAATGAAAGCCGTAGGATCTCAGAGAAGGATCAGTCACTGGATGTGGAGAAGATGGGTCTAGATCCAGACAATAGGACCTTATTGATAGGAGTCAGATAAATCAGAGTGAGGGCAATAATTTAAGCAACTGTATTGTTAAAATGCTAATGAGTTGTCCAGGCAATAAAAGGTTGTCTAGTTTAGTTGGACTTCCTTGAAAAGTAGTAGGCAGTGAGGTTAGAACATTGTTTCCCAAAAGATGCTAGGTGGTTGGTTAAAAATGGGGTAAGGGTTTATGAACCATTCTCTCTAATCTTAATATAGTGTCCTTTCACCCAAAATTTGATACTTTATTTTTTCACCCTCCATGAGGTCTCTCTATATCTTTGGCTAACTGTAACATTGCCTCTCAGGGAGATTTTCCAGGGTAAGAAAGCTGTAATTGGCAAACTTTTGTGGGTTAAATACAAGCTAAAATGCCCTATAGGTAGGAAACTGAAGGAACAGGGAACAAAGTGTTCTAGGAGGCTGGGAGGGATATAAAAGGAGGCTGAAGCATTGGCTCTTCTTTTCTCCTCCAAAAGACCAGATAGAAGTATAATTCCCTTACTCATTCTTCATTAAAAAAAAAATCGAGATTAAAAGCTGTTATTTCAAAATATAAATACCTTCCTTTGGAAGAGATTCAACTTCCTGCAGATTAACACAATTTTTTTAAAAAAACACCTGAAAACCAGCTAAAATAACTACAAAATAGGGGTTTGGGCTTGGATGGTAAGAAGGCAAGCATGAAATACTTTATATATTGTATAGAGAAGAAGCAGGGTGAGCAGCAACATTGATTGCTTATGTAAAGTGGTTATACATAATTCAATGTAACTTAGGTCTTTAAAAACTACTTCATAACCTACTGTGTATGTAAACAGATATGTATCTTTTAAAATGTCTTCTTTTTTGCTGAATTCTTTGAGGACTAACAAATCTTATTACTATTAAAAGCTAGAAGAGTTTGAGATTTCCCAGAGGATTATAAAGGATTTTCATACTAATAAGCATGCTGTCATTGAGAGACATTCCATTTTAAGCAACTGGTGCTATGTTTTGCCGAGGTGAGATTTCAATTTGTAGTATCTAAGGTGGGTTCAAAATATAGTAGTTTTCTCTTATTTGCTTTCTTAACATTGACATGTGCAAAAGTATAAACCATTTTGGTGAATTTTAAGATACTGAATTATGACTTCACAAAGGCATTGAAACAATATTGTCATATTTACGAAAGTCATGAATTTTCTTTATCAAATTACTAATTGTATTATATATTCACATTTTATTAGATCTAACTTCAAAAGTAATATTTCTGGATTTCTCATTATAAAATGAAAACTATCAAAATAATATTAATAAAACGTCATAAACTTTACCTAATAATGATTCATTATAATTTGATATGAGCTGAGTTTTAAGTTTGTACTATCTTCAGGAAAAAATAATTTGTTACTAGTATAAGCAGGATTATTGGGATAAAATTTTAACTTGCTTAGAAAAAAGAACTTCAGTAGCATACACATAATAATTCAGTCATCGAAGCCAAGAGGAGGTCGATAGAAAACATGGGTTTAACTCTAATTCATTCAACCCCTAACAGACTTTTTCCTAAAGTCTAACAATTACCAGTAATATCTTTGTTTGGAAAAATATTAGTCATTATTTTGTGTTTATAATTGGCACATTGTTTACAACAATCTGATTTAGCTTTTTTCTAGTACTTCTAGTAGTTAAGATATAACACAAATAAAGGCCATATATGACAAACCCATAGCTAACAGCATACTCAATGGTGAAAAATTGAAAGATTTTTTTCTTTAAGATTAGAAACAAGACAAGGATGCCCACTCTCTTCACTTCTGCACATACTACTAGAAGTCCTAGCTAGAGCAGTTAGGCAAGAAAAAGAAATAAAAAACATCCACTTGTAAAGGAAGACATTAAATTGTTGCTCTATGTAGGTAACATGAGCTTATATATAGAAAACCCTAAAGACTCCACCAAAAAACTGTTAGAACTATTAAACAAATTTAGTGAAGCTGTAGGACACAAAATCAACACACAAAAAAGTAGCATTTCTATACACTAGCAACAAACTATCTGAAAAAGAAATCAATAAAAGTAATTTTATCCATAATAGCTACCGAAAGCATACTTAACAATAAATTTAGCAACCAAGGAGGTGAAAGACCTCTACACTGAAAACTGTGTATCAAGTACAGATGACAAAAGCAAAAATAGACAAATATGATTACATCAAACTGAAAAGCTTCTATATGGCAAAAGAAACAGTCAACAGAGTGAAGAGACAACTTACAGAATGAGAGAAAATATTTGTAAACCCTACATCTGATAAAGAGCTAATATCTAAAATATGTAAGGAACTCAAATAACTCAATAGCAAGAAAACAAATAACCTGATTTTAGAATCGGCAATGATTTTAAAAAGCACTCAAATAATATTTGTCAAAAGAAGATATTTAAGTGACCAATAGGTATATTTAAAAATGCTCAACACCACTAATCATCAGAGAAGTGCAAATTCAAGTCACAATGAGAGATCACCTCATGCCTGTTGAATGGCTATTATCAAAATGACAAAAAATAATAAATACCGGCAAGGCTGTGGGGAAAAGGGAACACTTGCACACTATTGATGAGAATGTAAATTAGTTCAGCCATCATGGAAAACAGTATGGAGGTTCCTCAAAAAATTAAAAATAGAACTACCTTATGATCTGGCAATCCCACTACTGGTGATACATACAGAGAAAATTAAATCAGTATACTGAAGAGATATCTGTACCCCCATGTTCATTTCAGCATTATTCATAAAAGCCACGATGTGGAATCAACCTAAGTGTCTAGCAACAGATGAATGGATGAAGAAAATGTGGTATATAAACAAATAGAATAGTAGCCACCTTTAAAAGAGAAGGAAATCCTGTCATTTGCAATATGGATGAAACTAAAGGATATTATGTTAAATGAAATAAGCCGGGCACAGAAAGACAAATACCTTATCATCTCACTTATTTGTGGACTCTAAAACAATTGTTAACTCACAGAAACAGAGAGTAGAATAGTGCTTACCAGGGGCTGGGTAGGTGGAAGTGAAGGGGTGATTGGGGAGATGTGGGTCAAAGGATACAAAATTTCAGTTATATAGGAAGGATAACTTCAAGAGATCTATTGTACAGCATGGTGACTAAAATTAGTAAGAGTGTATTAGATTGTTGCAAAAGTAATTTCGTTTTTTGCTATTGAAAAATGACAAAAATCGCAATTACTTTTTTTACACACATATTAAAAATCACTAAGAAGGGGTAAGGTGGCTCATACTTGTAATTGCAGCACTTTGGGAGGCCAAGGTAAGCAGATCACTTGAGGCCAGGATTGAGACCAGCCTGGCCAACATGGCAAAACCCTGTCTCTACTAAAAATATAAAAATTTGCTGAGCGTAGTGGTGTGCACCTGTAATCCCAGCTGGTGGCTAAGGTAATAGAATCACTTGAACCTGGGAAGCAGAGGTTTAGTAAGTCGAGATCACACCACTACACTCCAGCCTAGGTCACAGAGTGAGACTCTGTCTCAAAAAATAAATAAATAATCCTAAGAGTACAATTTAAGTGCTCTACCACACACACACACGCACACACAAAGTATGTGAGTGCATGTTAATTAGCTTGACTTAGCCATCATAATGTGTATATATATTTCAAAATGCAATGTCATACATGATAAATATATACTATTTTTGTCAGTTAAAACAAAAAGATTTAGTACAATGTGTTTGAAACTTGAGCAAATGTTTAGTTTATATAGTTAGTGAAATAGTTGTTAAGTCTTTTTTGAACACTTTCTAAATCACATAGTTAACTTATTAAACTCTATTTAAGCATTGGCTCATAATATCGTCCTCTCATTTTTTTCATAGTATGAAAATGGGACAAATTATAAATATTCTTCATGCCATCCCCCCTGGCTGTCCTTTTCGATCATATGAAGATTTCCAGAGACACTGGGATGTCCTGGTAAGGAATGGAAATATATGTTACATTAGAAGTTATTTGATTTTTGTTTATTGTAACTTAACCTAAGTTGAGCTTTCTCTAAGATGTTTAAATTTTGTGATTAATTTTTAGTATGGCTATAAACTTCCAGATGATTGTAGAAAACTTAAAATATACTGCAACGTCTATTTCAAAATGCTCGGAGAAAGGACCTTCACATATCCTTTACACACCAATTGTTTGAAGCAGATGCTCTCTGCCCACCTTATAATCTAGTTTTGTTTCAGCTCTCATGGTCATACTTTCCAACCTTCTCTATGTCTGACTGAAACTGTGGTACATTTCCCCCAACTTCTTATCTGCACAAGTGTTTTTGGTGTGCTTAGAATTTCTTTCTATTTTTATTTCAGGATGAGCTTAATAAGGATATTTTCTTTTAACACCACTTCAACAATTTAGAAAACCAAAGTTAGACAGAAAAAAAATGTGTACTTAGAAAGTAGAAAACAATCATGATTCTCCTTAGCCAAGTGCTCCCTCCAGTGGCATTTCAGATACAATTGAAAGGGTTGGATTAAAAGGGTAGGTGGTAAACAAAAGATTTTTTTGTAAAACAAGATTTTTCTTTTGAGGAGATTATCTAATTTTATAGGCAAATTTTAGATGATTTGACTTAGGCTTAATTGCACCCCATTGACTTAAGAAAATGCCTTTTTAAACAGCATTTTTAAAAATTGAAATATACACATAAAAAGAGTGTTAAGTGCTCAGGCAAAACTCAAATCTTAGTACTGATTTTACCATTTGTATCTGTATTCTGACCTGCTGGAGTTTAAAAATGAAACAAGGAAGAGCCATAGTGTTGTCTTTTTGCATTCTACGTTTCCTAAGCCAAACTTATTTTAATAGTAAAACTGGGGTTAGCATATGTCCATTATTTTCTTTCATAAGATGCCAATATATTATTCAAAGTCTTCAGAATATGTTTCATCAGAAAAAGTAACTGCTTTTCTCAAAGAACTGCTTTTGCAGCTTGAGTACAATCTGTATGTATTATTCTCTGTCCTGAATTTTTCACTGTTTTTGGAGGTGCAATCTGTTCATTGTTATACTTATATTGTAATTCGTAAGGGTTATAGTATCTTCTTTAAAAATCTTTTTTGGAATACCGTAATTGCCCTTTCATTTAGAAAGCTGTATCATAAGATATTATGAATTCTCTTGATTTGGAGTGTTAGAATAGAAAGAATGAAGATCCCTGTGAGAAAATATGCTTTCAGCTGTGGATGGTATCAGATAAGCAATATAAAAAGAGTTAGGATGTATTTATGTGTGCCTTTTTGACATTGGTACTTTAATACTTTTTAAAATTACATATAAATTTCTTCCTCTTATGTAAAAAAATTCAGACATTGTTCTTTAACATTGTTCAGATATCCTCTCAGTTGCATCAGAAGTCAGCCTGTACAGTTCTTTCCAAGAGTAGATTCGGAAGTTGTGTTGAAAAGTTTTCTTTCAGATTTAAAATCTAAACTGCACCATATATGTGGATTTCCCATAAAGATGACAAGTAAACCGTGCTACTACACACAAGAACTAACTAAACCTTGTATACAGGTAAGCGATCTCTTGTCCTATCTAGTTCTCCAAGGCATATTATCCACCTATTTTACTTGAATCTCTTGCCTTCTGGGGTGGAATACCAAACCCAAAGTGAGTAATTCTTTTCTCTCAGTTCAATGTTTTCCTAATACTATTTGTTATTATTATTATTATATTTAACACAGTACTATAGTAGTAGTTGTTTACTGAAATGTTCCACCCACATCCAAGATATAAATGAGTTGGGTTATTGGAGAGTAAAGAGACAGAGTTTTATGAACAGTATGTATTTGGAGACATTGTGATGTCAGTACAAGCTCAGTTAAGTGGAAGGTAAGATGCCTGCCCCTCACCAAGTCAGATAAGCTGGGGCTTCTATGCAACCACTTAGAGCTTAAAGTATGATCTCTGCTGTATAAGGAAGACAGAGGGCTAGTGTCTGGCTCCTGTCTGACTTCATTAAGAAATTAATATAATTGGCTGTCCGCTAATGGACAAGTTAAAGAAGAAATTGCCATTTGGGGATTGGCCAACACCCCAGAGTTTGTCAGAAAAAAGCGGTTGAAGACTTAACTTGAAATCAGATTCAGGGTTTATATTTTTACTGAGGCTGGAAACTATTGGGGAGGGAAGATATTTCCTACTGAGTTTGTCTCCTCTGCATTTTAAAAATCCATTCTTATGGTGACACATGGCACACATATAGAAAAGTAATACTGTACTGCTTAATGAATGATTATCAAACATCCATGTAACCATTACCCAGAGAAAACATAGAACCTTGGCCAGGTGCGGTGGCTCACGCCTGTAATACCAGCACTTTGGGAGGCTGAGGCAGGCGGATCACCTGAGGTCAGGAGTTTGAGACCAGCTTGACCAATATGGAGAAACCTTGTCTCTACTAAAAATAAAAAAAATTAGCCAGGCGTGGTGGCGCATGCCTGTAATCCCAGCTACTCAAAAGGCTGAGGTAGGAGAATTGCTTGAACCTGGGAAGCAGAGGTTGCAGTGAGCTGAGATCGCACCATTGCACTCCAGACTGGGCTGCAGAGTGAGAGTCCATCTTAAAAAAAAAAAAAAAAAATAGAACCTTGCCAGGACTTGAGAAGCCTCCTACTTGCATCTTCCTAGTCATAACTCCTTTCCTCCTTCCAAAAGGTGACACTTCTATGGAAATTATTCCTTTTTTATTAACTATGTGTCCTTAAACATCACATTTCATTTTGCCTGCTTTAGAACTTGATATAAAATAAATCATTGAGTATGTATTCCTTTGCACCTGGCTTTTTAGGCTCAGCGTCACGTTTGTGATATTCATCCATATCGTTCCACTTAGCTGTAGTCAGTTTACTTCCCTTTATAATGTAGCATTTTATTATATGATTATGCAATAATTTATTCAGAATATTATTGATGAATGTTTGGATGGTTTCTCTTTGGGGGCTATTACTAGTGATGCTGTGATGAACATTCTTGTGTATGTCTGCTGGTGCACATGTACATGAAACCTCCAGGAATAGAATTGGTATGAAGATTTCTAACTTTGCTGGCTACACCAAACTATTTCCCTAACTGATTTGTACTCCCCTCTGCCCTAAAGCAGTATAGGAGAATTTATGTTGCTTCACATCCTTGCCCATTTTTGGTATTGTTGGTCTTTTATTTCAGCCATTCTGGTAGGTGTATTTGTTACTATGTGTTTTTAATCTGCCTTTTCCTGATTATTAATAAGATTGCATATCTCTTCATATGTGTATTGGCCATTTGGATTTTTTTTTGAAATTCCATTCTTTCATTTTTCCACTGTTACATGTTTTCTGATTGATTTATATGTATTTTTAACATAAGCCAGATATGAATTCTTTATCAGTTATACACAATTATCTTCTTTCATTCTATAACATGCTTTCTCTCTTAATTCTTGGTGTTTTAATATTGTCTTTGCCAGCAGGTCCTAATTTATAATCAAAACGATCAGTCTTTTTTTTATGGTTGCTACTTTTTATATCTGGTTTAAAAAATCTTTCTGTACCCCAAAGTCATGAGGTATTTTCCTCTAATATCATCCAATAAAAGCTTGTTTTCCATTCACGTTAAGATCTACAATGCAAATGGAATTTATTTTTGTAATATGTGATGTAGGGAGTCAGATTTGTTTCTTAATATGGATATCTATTTGTTCAAGCCAAAAATAAAATAGACAGTTCTTTCCCCAGTACATTTTTCCCAATTCTTTTTCTCTCCCCTCAGTACTTCAGAGCACTACCTTTGTCATGAATCCAGTGTCTTTGTGTGTATGGTATTGTTTCAGGCTGCTTTAATCTCTTTCTCTGGTCAGTTTGTTGATCCTAGCACCAATATCATGCTTTTAGAATTATCTTAGTTATGTAATCTTAAATTTTATATTTATTATAAATAGTGTTTTAATCTTAAATTTTGTAAGATTTTTGAAATTTGATAAAGCATCTTATCTATTGATTTGTACATTTCCATACACATTTAGTTTCAACTTGTCAACTTACACATAGACACAGACACATGTGTGCGTGCACGCACACACACACACACAGAGACAGAGAGAGCATGTTGGGATTTTGATGGGAATTTCATTGAGTCTTATAATCTATGAATATTGTATATTTCTCCACATAATATATATATACTTTAATTTCTCTCAATAATAGCTTATAATTTTATGCATAGGGAAGTCCATATTTTCTACACATAAGTTATTTTAAAATGTACTTATCAATTATATGAATTATTTTGAAATGTACTTACTAACTTTCTAAGATACAGGAATGTTCTAGCTATCTTTTTTGGGGGGGAATTTCTAGTTCAAATACATTATTGTCAGTTGCTGAGAAGTGTTTTCTAGTCTCCCAATATGATGTAGATTTATCTACTTTTCCTACTTTCAGATTTTGCTTTATGTATTCTGAGACCACAATATTAGATACATGTAAATTTAGAATTGTGAGTTGTTTATTTTCCTGGTCAGGGGCCAACTCCTCCCACTATTAGTTAGAGAAAAATTGTACAGAAACCTGAAAACCTAGACACAAAGGCCTACAGGCAAGGTTATTTCTTTAGAAGGGAGAATCAGTGGACAAACGCCAGTTAACATCTTTAAAATATTATTAAAAGTTTGTCCAGAGATAATATTTTTTAAAGTTGCTGCCAAGTCTGAATCTAAAGAATTTGGAAGAAGATATGTTTTTTTTTGTTTTGTTTTGTTTTTTGTTGTTTTTTTTTTGAGACAGAGTTTCGCTCTTGTTACCCAGGCTGGAGTGCAATGGCGCGATCTCGGCTCACCGCAACCTCCGCCTCCTGGGTTTAGGCAATTCTCCTGCCTCAGCCTCTTGAGTAGCTGGGATTACAGGCATGTGCCACCATGCCCAGCTAATTTTTTGTATTTTTAGTAGAGACGGGGTTTCACCATGTTGACCAGGATGGTCTCAATCTCTTGACCTTGTGATCCACCTGCCTCAGCCTCCCAAAGTGCTGGGATTACAGGCTTGAGCCACAGCTCCCAGCCGGAAGAAGATATGTTGTTACATCATGCATGTTTCTTGAATATACTTCTGGAGTACTTACGATTTTCAGCCCATGTCTGTTTTAGAAATAGTGATCAGAACAATGTACTTGTTAAAATTTGCTTCATAAATGTAAAATAACATTTAATTGGAAATTACGGTTTTATATTGCTCTTTACAATAAGAATTTATCCTACTCAATTCTATTGAGTGCCTTCTGCATGCCAGATGCTTTTATGTGTATTATTTCATTTAATAATTAAAACTGATTTTTAGATAAAGAATTTACTCAATTTTGCAGAAGAGGAGACCAAAGCTCAGAACATCCAAATAATTTTACCAAAGCCACACAGTTAAATGCATTGCAGAATTAGAATTGAAACCCAAGATTCCTAGTTCTGTAATTGGAAAAAGTTCATATTTGTAGCTAAGAGCTCAAGCTCCAGGAACAGGCTGCTTGAATTTGAACCTCTTAATAATTGTATAATTTAGGACAAGTTATTTGATGTCCGTGTGCCCAAGTTCCTTAGTAGTTGTAAAGTGAGGCAAAGGCTAGCAGTGGTAATGATAAAATTTGTCACAGATCGGGTTCTCTAGGAGCTGATTCTGAGGTGGAGTCTAGTGCACATGATGTTTGTTAGGGACTGCCTGTGAAAGCAATATCTGTGAAAGGCAGGAAGGAAGCAAGATTGGGGAAAGGAAGAAGTCAAAAACAAAGCAGACACCAGATGGCCCTGGCCACCCATCTGAGGAGCTCTGAGACTAAAATGGCCCGTCTGAGTTGTTCTGCACTGGCCTAAATAGCCAGGCCTTTCTAACCCCTTCTGCATCTATCATTGGATTTGGGCCACCCTGAGACCGGCATATCCTTGGGCATTGGCCCTCTGTAACCAAAGCAATCCCTAAAGGGGTTTCTGCTCCACCAGAGACACAGTAAGTCCTTCCTTTGAAGGGAGTCGTGTCTTTTGCAATACTTACTTCATAGTGGTTTTTAGGACTAAATGAGATAATACAGAGAAAAGATTCTTGGTGAGGTCTCAGTAAGTTATTATTACTAGACCACAAACATGTTAACCCTAAAATTCATGCAATGTAAAAGGCATAAATTTAAAAAATGGAAATCAAATTGATCAGACTACTTGATAAAACTCAGCCAAGTTAAAAAAATTAAATTAGGAATGCTTAGTCAAACTTGTATTTTTTAACATATAGAAAATGTCAGCGATACATAATGGAAATTAGTGTAATCATCTCTCATGTGCTTCTCATCTAACTCCCCCTTGACACATTTTTGGGTGGGAAGTAAACTGGAGGATTTTGGAATGAATCCCAAATGTAGTGTTTTACCTGTAAAGACTATGGCGTACGTTTCTATCTCATTTTAAAATATTTTTACATAACCCCCATATTATTACCACACCTAAAAGATGTAACATCTCAATATCAGGTACTAGTTCATACTGCAGTTTCCCATTTATC